ACCTCCGACTTCATCTCCTGGCACAGTTCGCGCGTCGCGTGGAAGCGCAATACTACAAGAGGCTGGATGGCCAGGAGCTGCATGGACTTGAGGGCCTCTAGGACCTGGCTGAGGGTCATAGGGTCGCGATCCCTCTTGATCTGCACTCCGGTTCCATTCCAAGTATGGAACATTGCACTGGTCGTCCAAAATCAGCATATCCTTGGCGCCTGCTTGATGGTGTCCTCGCTCATCATAATCATTTCCATCCGCTTGAGCATGAGGTCCACCCAGTGCTTCAGCAGCCATGCTCGGAGGGGCAGCGTCAGGAGCTCGGGTGTCTCCTTCTTCATGGTCTTCCAGGCCTCTGCTGCCACGTAGAGCTCCGGGACCATAGAAAGCACCCCCTGGCACTGAGCGAACATCACATAGGTGTCCTGGGCCCTGTTGATGCCGAACTGGTCCTCGTGACGTAGCAGGAGCCGGCCCATGCTCAGGCACAGATTCAGCAGTGCCTTGTCCCGATCTGTGTCGGACTTCCAGTTCCGGTCCGAGCGATCTGCTCCATGACCTGTTCTGGGTCGTTCGGCGCCTGCTGGGTGCCTGGGAGCTGTGATCCCGCTGCCAGCCATCGTCGGATGTCCTGGCACTTCCCTTGGCGGAGGGCCTGGGCCACTTCTCCTGGTCTCCGTTGCCCTTGCCTGCTGGGGCTGCGTTCTCCGCCGTCCGTTTGTCCCTCTGCGTCTCCATGGCTTCCGGCTCGTCCGGGGGTGCTGCCCAGCCCGGGATCGCTCGGTGCAGATGGCTCCAGTGCCCCCGCTGAACGACGCATCATGGCCGAGAGAAGGTTGGCTTGGTCCTGCGCCCCCATGAGCTCCTGGGTTTCCACTTCCGCCATCTCCTTCCGAAGTGCATCCTTCATGTGGGTCTCCATGGCCTGAGGTGGGAGATGCAGAAGCGGTAGCAGTCTGTGCATAAGAGGCGCACAGTCGGAGTAGAAGACCTGCACGATACAAGATGGGACACTCCTTGGCATGTCTTGGGCGACTGCACTTGCGCGCCTTAAAGTCAGCTCCGCAGAACTGGCAGGGCGACAGGATGGCCGTCTTATGGTCGTCGAGCCACTTTAACACAGCAGCATGAAAGGCATAAGCTTCGGCATGCTGAGATTTGACGTGTCGCGACAGGTAGCCTGGGTGCGCAAGCCATTGTCCGCACAGCAAGCAGTGGTTGAAATCTGTGCTTTTGATGTTCAGCGCCAGGCGTTTCCAATCACGAGCCAGCGCGGTTGCACACCAGTCTCTAGGCAAACAAGGATATCGGTTTACGATCCGGTCCACAAGCAAGTTTGTAGGGTTTGCGGGCGCCATGCTTGTAGAGGGTATATCCTCTGTAATGTCTATGACATTAGCAACATTGTGAGTGTGGGTCGGGTTCGACATGTGACTAGCATGTGCTGCAGGGATTGAGATAGGATCGGGGGTCAGGTTTAGGGTTTCCCTGGGAGTATCCTCAAAATTAGTGGAGACTAGAGGACCCTCAGAGTGTACGGGTTGTGATTTAGGGGCGATGGCAGGTATTTGCGGGGAGTCGAGGCTTGTGGCCGGTCGAGAGGTTGGCGCAAGCATCTCTCCAAGATGCAGCACCGGGCATCTCGCTGAGAAAGCGCATGCAGAAAGATGGCCAGCTGGTGAAGACCCAAAAACAGTGCTTGCACGTGGGTAGCCCTTGCAGACTGTGCTGCATAAAGTCACGTCTCATAGCTGACTGCGGTCTAGGTGACGGTTTGGGTTTGGGCTGGGGTGCAGGATTGTTCATGGGAGGTTCAGATTTGTGTTTGAGGGCAGCATGAATGCGTAAGGCTCGTTTGGTGGGGAAGTAAAATCCGCAGATGGGGCAGGGTAGGGGCTTGACCGGTGACGCAAGTGCTACCGGTCTGGTCGGCACGCGCAAGGGATGCTGATGGAGCATCTGCTTCGGGTCACTGGCTGCAGACTGCAGATTGGAATCCAGTTGCTGCCACCAGCTATGCACTAGCGGTGGTTGGAGAACAGCCATGTGACCCTCCCGGCAGCGGCTCAGGCGGCGCTGTACACGGAGGCGCAGAGTGTCTGTCGGATCCTGGACGCGCAGCCGGGTGAGCAGATCTGCTGGTTCCTCGTGCGTAATGTATGACGGCGCCTTGCAAACAAGCCTAAGCTGTCTAACAACATGCTTATAGAGCAGTGTCGAGCCACCCGGGGCTAAGCCCATGCTGTCCAGGCCGTGCATCAGTGTAGAGAAGACACAGCTCTGCCAGACGGAAATGCGGCTGCGCAGGGCCACGCTGTTTGAGCGAAGGGCCGGCAGGATGCGGTGAAAAGAACTCCAGGACTGACGAATGCGTTCCTTGAGTGTGAGTGCTTCCATAGATTGGTAGCTGAGTATCGCTCCGAGGTATGGATGCTGAGTAACTACCGGTAAGCGGATTGTGCCATGGCGGGTGGCACAATGTAGAAACTTGCCTTTTCTAGGATCCTTAAAGACGTGTTTTTGAAGTATCGATCCCACCTTGGACCCACGAACCCCGATCAAGACAGCCGACTTGCCAGGGCTGATGGTCATTCCAAATGCTTCCAAGGTGTCAAGTACAAAAGCAATGTTGCGAAACGCACCTTTCAGCTGATCAGTGGAAGCGACGAGCCAATGAAACAAGAAATCATCAACAAAGACCGTGGAGTCATGCATGCTCACTTGTTGCCTAATGTAGGTGAGGATAAGCCCTGTATACAACACCCACAATGAGGGAGCTAAGCAACAGCCCTGACGTATGCCGTTGTCTGTGTCCAGCATGGCTACTTGGGAGCCATGGGTGACGCGGAGGCTGGCATGGGCATGAAGCTGCAGTATGACATGTTGAGCTGCTGGGTCTACTTTGGCAAGGTCCATGGCTTCCTGTAGCTTGGATCTCGGCATGACATCGAACGCCTGTCGGAGGTCAATGGACAAAAGAACTCCGCCTCTGCAATCGGCCGGGCGGTGTCCCTGCCTGCGGAGATGTATGTTCTGTTGCTGTGCTCGTAACACCGCCCTGACTCGAGCGCAATGCGCAGACGCCCGATCAAGTGCGTCTTGCACTGATCTTGCCTCAAGATAGGCCATCTGTGGCAAGTCATGCACAAGCTGCCCGAGCTGGGGCTTAATGTGGTTGTTCAGTATGATGGAAAGGGCTTTCGAAATTGGGTGGATGAGGGAGATGGGTCGTAGGGCTTCTGGGCCTGTCATGGGTTTGGATGGTTTCGGGATCAAGCACAAGTCCGCCACATGCCATTCCTCCGGTGGAGGGACGCTCATGTCCGCTAACCAAGCGTTCAGCATGGGAAGATATTTGTCAGTGAGGATGTCTGATGCTAGGCACCACAGTCGTGATGGCGCAACATGAGGCGGCAGTGCCTTGTTGCAAGGCAGACTCGACAGAGCTGCTTGAAGCTGTGCCCAAGAAACCTGAAAAAGGGGGCCTGGTGCTTGCGAGGGCTGAGGGGGGTGTTTATGATACAGGTCGCGGTAGTAGTTGCGAATGGCAGTAACAGTAGAGGCAATGTCAAGGGGCATGCCAGTCGAGGCACGCAGCTGTAGCTTACGCCTAGGCTGTTTGGGTGCAAAAAGACTGAGTACCCGAAAGATGCCTATGTATCCCTTGCAGGCCACCGCCTCTTGCAAGCGTTGGGACAGCTTCTGACGGCGGAGACGCTGGCAGTGCCGTCTGAGCACCCACTGATGCCGCTGCAATGTGCTTAACTCCTTCCAACGCTGGATAAAATCTCGAAGTGAAATGCACGGTTGTTGCCTACCTCGTTTGACTATGTCTCGTAGGCGCCACAATTCTGTGACAGATTGGCAGCGGCGTGGCAGGCCGGCGCAGGTCTGGCAGGTGCCGGGTGGCATGCGCCCACGCAGCTTGAAACAGGCGATCCGAGTGCGCTTGCGGTTGTGCCAGTATCTCCTTCTGGATCTCAGCTCGGAAGGCTTGCTCTACTTCAGGATGTTGTTCACATATTTGTTGTACCTTGTGTCTTTGCAGTTTGGGTGTGGCACGGGATTTTTGGGGTCGGGAAGGAAGTGGTACACTACCCAGTAAAGGCAGGTGTCTCATACCTGTGGCGGGCACAAAGGGTAGGGGCTTAGGGGCAGTCTTACGAGATTCTGGATCTGCCTGACCTCGGCGTGTCACTGCAAAGTCAATTTGGCTGTGACCCGACTGGCCTGCCGGCAAAAAGGTGCATGAGCGGCGACCCTGTGGACCCCAGGTGTTGAGAGCTACTAAATCGTGGGTACGTAAGATGTCTTGCATGGTTGTGGAGTCTCCTGCATGTCCAGCACTGCGTTGATAGGTGCCTCTACCAACCAAGGAACCTTCAGGTTGTAAATCAACATTTAGGTCTCCTAAGAGCAAAAGCTGATTACGGACAGGCAGCGCTGCGAGAAGTGTGGACAGACGGGTCCACAGTTCAGCTCGCTTGGAGAGTACCGTTTCCCGGTGCTTCGCCTTGTCTGTGCATTGCTTGGGGAGGGACCACGCATGCTGATAGCAAACTACAACATCTACGTTGGGTTGTGAGGTTGATGGATGAGTCTCTAAACGTACATGCAACAACCGGCCGGGGATGACCTCACAGTGCTGTATCTGTGCTGGCGGGAAAAGAGATTTAGACACTAGAAGTAGTAGACCTCCCTCGGGCTTAGTCTCACCACACCACAGTGCAGCGCGGCAAAGCGGCCGGTCACGTATTCTAGCGGGCCTCGCCAGTGCGTTTCCTGCACAGCAACTAAGCCCACTCTGCGTCCCTCGGCGGTGTCACGCCACGTGTTGAGCTCAAGATTTCGATCAGCAGTGAGGCTACCTGCATTCCATGATAGAAAATGTATCCGATCGGTCTGGGAAGCATTAGACTGTGCAGAACGTCGGGATGGTGGGGATCGTGGTTCAACACCAAGTTGCTGAGCGCTGAGCCTCTGTCCTCTGTACATTGTACTGCCGTATTGCGATGCCCGAGCACGGGCCCGGAGAAACGCTCTCTTACGGGCGGGTTTGGGATGCCTAGGGTTGCAAAGAAAGACACCGTTGTGGTTCGCTACATTGGGGCTTGAGTGATGAGCATTACGTAGCGCTTCAGGGGGTTTCTGGTGTGAATTGCCCCCAACCCTCGTGTCTACAGGAGTCGGCATAGCAGCTACACTGCGAAGTTGTTGACAGAGCATAGTTATGCCTAGGCTTCGAAGGCTGAGGCGTGCCGAACCCCTGTTCCTGGACTTGGGACCAGGACGGCCTCTCTGTGGGTACGGGCTCGTGGGCTTGATTGACTGTACAAGAAAACTGTACAAGCAGGTTCTTCACAGCTGCAGCCTGTCAACTGCTCAAAAGTGGCGGCTGTGCGTCCTCCTCGTCGACGAAGAAAGCGACTGCCGCAGCGACAGCAGCAGGTGGGTCGTAGTTTGCTGGGCCTGAGATGTCTCCCAATATCCACGCGCATTCCGCGACGGCAGTTAGACCTCAGGTCTCCTTGATCCAGACGACCGCTCTGCGACTGGTTGAGCACGGTGCGGGGAGTTGTGGAACCATTGCTGAAACTCCAATCGTCCATCGTCATCCAACAGTGGGAAAAGAGCCAGCAAGGTGGGGATATAGAACAAATCCAATCCCGGATGTAGTCCACCATATAACTCGCCATGTGGTCCGCGCTTGCTGCATCCATGTGTTGGCGAAGACTTTGTCTGAGCATACGGTCCATGTGCAGGAGGCATACATGCTTCGGAGGATCCTCGAAGGATCCCACACTGGCCAGCCAGGCCACATCGTTCTCCGGAACTCCCTTGTTCCAAAGGTCGACCAAAGCTTGGTAAGCCGTATCCAGGCGTGCGGCAGGGACTTCATCCAGCTGTATGTAAACATAGGCATACAGGTCGCCTGGGTCTTGATTTCCGCGGCTGCGACGCTGCGCAGCATATTTGGCCGTGGATACACGCTTGTTCTCGTGGTGGAAGGTGAGGTGGCCAGCCAGAAAGAAGAAGCATAGCTCCCTGAGAGCCATGACCGCATTCTTTTCCAGGAAGGACGGGTAGTCGGGGAAGGCGTCCGGTATCTGGAGGCTCGGTACTGCTGGGGCCGCCACTGGTGGATGCTCAGGCATGGGCCCTGCGAAAGCGGGAGCATCCCTGTTGTCCGTGGATCCAGTTGCACCACCCATGGAAGGATCCATAGCAGCATCGTCGTCAGTACTGACTTCAGCAACAGTGAAGGCATCGCTGTCGGTAGAGGCGTAGCTTTCATCTCTCGACGAGGAGGTGTCTGGCAGGGATCGTGGCATGCCCCGGCTCGAAAGCCCCACAAGCAGGCAGCCACGTATCCTCAGTAAACCTCGCCAGAAAAATTTGCAGTGACCCACCAGATCAGGCAGCTGTAAAGACCATGCACAGTCGCTCAGGCCCCCAAACAGAAATCAGGATTTGGGCCGAGACACTTACTACTACTACTACTAACAACAAC